TGGGAAAGAACATGATTATAGAATATAAAGGTGTTACCAATTGGCATTAGAGAAGACTTTCCACGAAGCTGGCTTTAGTCTGAGGCACTGAAGCACTTGTGTGCTGATGCAGCCTATGAAAGTCAATTGTAGTCTCTCGCCAGTTTCTGCAAAGCTCCTGTGTGCACGTGCGGCTCTGCATGAAGTCGATGGCTTGGCTCACTCACTAAGCACAGCAATTCAACTCTCCATGTCCTTGGCGCATCTAGAGCACACGTGAACGAGGAAAGGTTAGAACACCCTTTTTTTGGACCTCTAAATTTTAATACATCAGTATTATATACTATTTTTTAAAAATATATTTTATTGATTTTGTACAGAGAGGAAGGGAGAGGGATAGAGAGTTAGAAACATCGATGAGAGAGAAACATCGATCAGCTGTCTCCTGCATACCCCCTACTGGGGATGTGCCCGCAACCAAGGTACATGCCCTTGACTGGAATTGAACCTGGGACCCTTCAGTCCACAGGCCGACGCTCTATCCACTGAGCCAAACCGGTTAGGGCAGTATTATATACTATTAAAAAGATACCTGGTTTTATGGAATTTTCAACATGCAGAATTAAGAAAGTAGGAAACGCCTTTTCATAGTACTTGAAGTCTCTAATTTAGAACCATTTCAGTGTGGAACTCATACATGTATTTATCGTGAAGGTGTGTCTGTGGCCTAGCACAGACTTACAGACTGAGGAAAATGAGCAAATTCAAGTTCTTTAAGAGCCGAAAGCCTGGTGTTGAAGATTTTCCGTTTGAGAGGGGTCGCTAAGGTATGAGAAGGAGGGGTGGGGAGGGGTGGGAATCAGTGACAAAAAGAAAGGTTAGCAAGATGGGCTTGGACCCTGCATAAGAACCGTCTTTGCTGTAAATTCCAACTAAAGTTTATGTGTTCTTAGAAAAATGTCACTGATTTTATACTGAAAAAGAAACAGAATTATTTTACAGAATGACTTGAAAGCTATTTTTACTGGTTGTTGGTATTCCCTCAAGAGATGAGAATTTTAGATAAGATAGCCCCTCAACCCTTGGTGAGAATCATCTGTTATATGAGTGACAGGAGTCCTTAGATTCTATAGTGGAGTTGGGGTTAAAAAAAAAAAAAAAGGTTTAGCTTTGTTTGCAGCCTCTCCCTCCCAGGATTACCAAGCCATGTATACTTTTGAACTAAAATGAATCATTGAAACCATCACTTGACTTTGGTTTAATCAATAATAAATAACCATATTGGAGCATTTTAAAAGAAGACAGACATAAATGATTTATAAAAGTGAATAACTTGCGAGTTGCAATTGCAATTGCATTTTTTTTGATGGGAGCACAGTGTTGTTATACAATGTTCTTTTCACATTTCTTTCTTCTCTGGCATTTATTATAAGGAACAAAGCATTTCTGGAATGCTCATTTTAATTTCAAAGCTCAAACATTTGGCGCATGGAGGATCAGAACAATAATAGAGGAATGTTCAGTGGGAAGCATCATGAATTGTGGCACTTAAAATACATTCTGAAGGAACATTTTAGACAATGATACTTATTCTTCATTTTAAACAAAGGTTTTAAACTAGGTGCTATAATATGTCTTAATCTGGGCAAGTATCTTTTAACTCTTGATACACAAATTAGACTGATAATAGTGAGATATTTGCTTTTTGGACTATGTGACAACCCATGTAATAAATCAGGCTTATTATCATCTTTATGTAATGCATGATAGAGACATGAGGCCCATTGGCTGCTTGTAAAGCATATAGAATGTGCTTTATTAACTGCCTTCATCACATTCAGCACAGGGAACCTCAAGAGCAAGATAAGGTTAGGCCCAGAGAGAACACCTTTGACAAGGACCCCATAGCAGATTTTCTATATCAACGTGGGGAACGGATTAGGAAATACACATTAAATGCCAACCAATATCTGTATCATGTTATGCATTTTACAAAACATTTTCCATTATTTAACCTTCACATAATCTTACAGGATAATAGGACTGTTCTCATTTCCCAGGAGCGGGAACAAAGGCTTGCTGCAAGGCATTCCCCTCTGGGTTATGAACATGGGGATAAAGCAAGTTAGAATAAAAGAGAGGGTATGGCCCTAGCCAGTTAGGCTAAGTGGATAGAGCGATGGCCTGCAGACGGAAAGGTCCCAGGTTTGATTCCAGTCAAGGGCACATGCCCAGGTTGTGGGCTTGATCCCCAGTGTGGGGTGTGCAGGAGGCAGCCGATCAATGATTCTCTCTCATCAGTGATGTTTCTATCTCTCTCTCCCTCTCCCTTCTTCTCTGAAATCAATAACAATATATTTAAAAAAACCCCCAAAAATAACACCAGAGGGTATGTTGGACAGGAGGATAAAAGGGCAGACAAAAATTATTTTCATCCACGTATTTCCTTATAGCTTGCAAGTTCTTTCTTAGTTCCTAACTAAAAAACCTGGGTTCAGATATCTAACTAAACAAATGTTGAATGCTCCATAAATGAGCAAAATCCTCAGGGGCTGTCTTTCTGTCTGTTGTCGATGATGTGGCACCAGATTGTTAAGAGCTTTGGCGATTTGATGACAAGCAGGAGTTGAGCTTTCTACTGGAATTCCTGCTCTTCTCTTAAATACTAGGTTTAAGGTTGTTTTCCTTCCTCTATGATGGTGACCTTCAAGCTCTGCACATGGAAATGCTAACCAAATTTTGTTATTGGGCTCCAACATTTAATTAAGAAATGGATATTTTCCACAATGCAATGTGGTATGAGGTTTTGTTCCAAATATAAATGCTTAATTTCTGTCTCTAAACAATGCTCTCATTATGACTTTATTTTTATTTTAAACCTTTTCAAAAGTATTGTGTTCATTATTAACATGTTCAGGCAATTCAAAATATAGACATTTAAAAGAACCTCTCTTCAACCACTGCATTCATTCATCCATTTATATAATATTTATTGAACACCTACTTTGTGCATTGTTCTGTGTGCTGGAGAACAAAATGCATTTCCTGCTTGCATGAAGTTTACATTTGAGTATTGGAAGCATGCCATAAACAGGTAAACAAGTGGAAAATATCAGGTTCTATAAGTGTTTTGAAGAACTATAAAGTGGGGTGAGGGGACAGATGGTGGGGGTGGTCAGGAAGGCCTCTTGATAGGGGACTTTGAGTGGGACCTGTTTGTTTGAGAGGAGTGTGTAGAGACAGGTAAGAGAGGTTACGAAGGGCCAGAAATGTAGGTTACGGTAAGGATTCGGATTTGGTTCTACTGAGGTCACCACTTCTTTATATGTTACAGAGCAGTTCCCACCCCTCTAATAACGGTAACCTCTATTCTCACCCTAAATAGACTACTGCTGGCTACAAAGTGACATACATTTTATAATTATTTGATATTTTTGAGATACATCATTTTCAAATTTTCCTCATTTTTGACTGCTTTATCAAGGTTCTGTATCCTTTTTTCCATGTGAAGTTTCTTTAATAAAAACAACACACAGGTACACACACAGACGACCTTCTAAAACATTGTCCTAGTGGTAAAACTTGTTGAGACTCCATCTCTAGGGCCCTCCCTCTAGATGGGCCTGCGCTCCTACCTACCATGAACCGGGAGCTCTGTGGTGGTTGATAATACTCTTCTCGGGGCCTTGACCTTTGGGGCTGCACCCGCAGTACTGCTCCATGTTTCTGTGCTGCACTTCCTTTCGTTCTGGGCTATGCTACCCCAGGACTGCGTTCCCCTCACAAGTTGTCTAATGCGTGACTTGTATTTTTTTCAATTTTAGGTGACTACACTTGTAAATTGTCCCCAGAATCCTTCTAACAGGAAGAAAGGATGTTCCAAAAGAGCCAGAGTTCTTCTAGCTTCTGTGGAGGAAGCAACTTGGAATTTATTAGACAAGGGAGAGAAGATCGCCCAGGAAGCCACTGTTCTAAAGGAAGAGCTGACTGCTACGCTGGAGCAAGTTCGCAAAGAAGGTGAGTGCTCTCGCCCTGGTCTGGAGCAAGCTGCGCTCCTCAGGGTGTTGGTTCCCGAGTGAGATTTGTGAGTGATCTGTTTTCCTGATTTGAGTTGATTAGTTTTTTGCAGAGCTCTGAGCAGCTCCTAGTAGCTGTGGGAGCCAGAGAGGCTCATTACTCCGCTCCGAGGCTCAGGGACCACTCCTGGTTCTTCCCTTTAGTTGTTCTGGTCCTTTAGGCAGCTTTTGCCCCAGGCAGCTTCTTCTCCTCACCAGTCACAGTTTATCCACAATAAATAGAGAGAAGTGTACCCTTTCTTGTCATAGAATATAATGAGAAATGACTAATGGAGCTGAAGACATATTTTCCCATACATGAATAAATCATAAAGTTCTTTGTAAACAGTTGGAAATACAAGTTTCTGACTACCTCTGAAGTATATATATTTTTTATTGTCTAAAGTTTTACATATGTCTTCTTCCTCTCACCCCCCAGCCATTCCCACCCCGGGCCAGTGTCTGTGTTCATTGGTTATGCTAATATGCATGCATACAAGTACTTTGGTTGCTCTTTAACCCGCCCCCCCCCCCATTTGTCTCTGGCTCTGTAATGGTCTTTATTATCCATGAATGAGTGAGATCATGTGGTATTTTTCCTTCATTGACTGGCTTATTTCACTTAGCATAATGCTCTCCAGTTCCATCCATGCTGTTGCAAATGGTAAGAGTTCCTTCTTTTTTACAGCAGCATAGTATTCCATCGTGTAGATGTACCACAGTTTTCTAATCCATTCATCTACTGATGGGCACTTAGGCTGTTTCCAGATCTTAGCTATGGTGAATTGTGCTGCTATGAACATATGGGTGCATATATCCTTTCTGATTGGTGTTTTTGGTTTCTTGGGATATATTCCTAGAAGTGGGATCACAGGGTCAAATGGGAGTTCCATTTCCAGTTTTTTGAGGAAACTCCATACTGTCTTCCATAGTGGCTGCACCAGTCTGCATTCCCACCAGCAGTGCACGAGGGTTCCTTTTTCTCCACATCCTCTCCAGCACTTGTCGTTTGTTGATTTGTTGATGATAGCCATTCTGACAGGTGTGAGATGATACCTCATTGTTGTTTTGATTTGCATCTCACGGATGATTAGTGACTTTGAGCATGTTTTCATATGTCTTTTGGCTTTCTGAATGTCCTCTTTTGAAAAGTGTCTGTTTAGGTCCTTTGCCCTTTTTTTGATTGGATCGTTTATCTTGCTTTTGTTAAGTTGTATGAGTTCTCTGTAAACTTTGGAGATTAAACCCTTATCAGTGATAACATTGGCAAATATGTTCTCCCATGCAATGGGCTTTCTTGTTGTTTTGTCGATGATTTATTTTGCTGGGCAGAAGCTTTTTATTTTGATGTAGTCCCATTTGTTTATTTTCTCCTTAGTCTCCATTGCCCTAGGAGCAGTATCAGTGAAGATATTGCTTCGGCATATGTCTGAGATTTTGCTGCCTATCGAGTCTTGTAGGATTTTTATGGTTTCCTGTCTTACATTTAAGTCCTTTAGCCATTTTGAGTTTGTTTTTGTGTATGGTGTAAGTTGGTGATCTAGTTTCTTTTTTTTTCTTTTTCTGGTTTCTAAACTTGGTTTGCACAAACTATGCACAACTCATGATGATGTGTTAATATTACATAATGAAAATATATTTCACCTTTTGATATCTTATGAGAGTATAATAGTTTTCTAATGAATGTAGGTCTCATTTGCAGGTTATTTTTAAAAAAAGGCTCAATATTCTTTGGTCAATAGAATGATTTTCTATATCAGTTTGCTGCAAGGAACTATTCTGAGAGGACAAGGAACTTAAATTTTCCTGATCTGCTTTGTAAAAGAGACTTTGGGTGTCCAAATATTTCCCTTCTTCCAACCCCCAACATAACTTTAAGAAAATTAGGAAATCTTTGCTAATTAAATAATGAAAATGAATGTAATTGCCACAATAAACTTTAGGTCTCACACAGGGGAGTTAGTTGCTATAAACTTTACATGTGATTTATATTTTCTAGGGCTTCTTTGGACAACGCATAGAAAACATAATGTCCAAGGTAGTTTGAAATGAACCCGTCATTCCTTCCTGCTGCCTCAGAACCACCTTTGTCCTGTCTTCCGGGCCATGGTACCATCTCCCACTTAGTCACCAAGTTAGTTTAGGCTCTTCGTTCTCATTCCATCTTCCCTTCCAAACAGTCTTTTAAGTTCAACAAATTCTATCTCCTTTGGCCTCTCAGATCTGTTCCCTCCTCTCCATTTCTAATGTTCCATCCCACATTCAGGGTTACTGTATTAGCCTCATCCCAGACCAAAGCAAATAGAGCTTTAAAAAATGAAATTATACTCATTTACTTCCCTGCTTAAAATCCATTTTAGAAGCTTTCGGAGAATTTGGGGGACTATCTTTCTGGATAAAGTTGAAACTTTAAATGTAGCTCTCACAGCATTTCATAATTTGGCTTCTACCATGCTCTCCCTTCTCATTTCCTGAGTCTGTCCCTCCTCAAACTTTCATCCAAACAGGAACTCTCAGTGTCCTGGACGGTCCAGGTTGCTTTCCGTCTCTGTTACAGAGCTGTTCCCTCCACCTGGAGTGCTCTTCTCTTTCAGCCAATTCTTCTTAGCAGCTCAGCTCAGCCTGAGCCGGCTTTTCCAGGAAGTGTTTACTGAACCCCACGATGCTGATGTAGATGCCTCTCCTCTGTGTCCCCAGAGATTCTGAGCATCTCTCTTTCATAGAACTTAGGCCCCCTCCCCCCCCAACAACCCTGCCGGCACCAAACATTGATTTACTTGTTCAGTAAATCTAGACTCTTTATTCCTTGATGGTGGCAAGTACCACTTCTTCTTTTTTATTATTATTTTTTGTTAGCAGTGCCTGACATAGAACAGACACCTGATAAATGTTAGAAGTAAAAAATTTGATGCATCATTTTGTCACTTTATATTATAAAATTTGATAATGGTTTTATCTTTGCTGCCATGGGAAATTACTCTTATAGTTATGGTTTCATTGCTGTGTCTTTGGTTTGGAATACAAATCCTATTCTGATATTGTTTCTTCCAGAAAATGGGATCTATTTGATAGCACAGTTTCCATAAAGTACCTGGTAATAAATATGGAAGAAGCTGGTCATTCTTAGAAGGTTACAATAATTGCAATGATTGTCATGAAATGGTATTTTTTTAAAAAGGTTAGTCAACATTTTTAGCTCACAAGAAGTTATTTGAAAGAAAAGTTCTCAAAGAGTTTGTTCAGCTTCTGACTATGCAGTACATTCCTCACTGTGTTCTGTTATAACGTGTGAAACACGTCTATGGCAAATGCTGTGTATATGACAAATACATTTGGTTAAAGATCACAAAGCGCTTTACATTCTGATTATTTTTGACAAACTATCAAACAAACCACCGTCACCTGAGTTTAGGGAGAAAGCAGCGAAAGTGCAAGTGATCCTGGAGTTTGGGGCATGGCCGCGCTCACCCCCTGGATGAAGAGACAGTGATAGAGGAGCGCAGTTCCCCAAATCTGGGAAGGAATTTTAGCTCAGAGTGGAGTGGAAGTATCAGGAGAAGGAACTCTGTATGATTCTAGAAGTGTACTTAAAATAGTTTCCTGTGCTTATTTTTTTTTTAAAGGCTTTGTTCAGTGGCATAATGTGAAGGCCCAATGAAGAGCAAATGATAAGTTTAAAGTATTCGGGAAAGTGAAAAAAATATTGGACGTAGAGGATATTTATATCTATATTTACTGACTTTCAAGAAGACTTTTAAGACTAATTTAGAAAATTTCTTCTAATGAGGACAGTATAATTTATACAGCTTACAACAGGATTCTGTTTTACTGCCTTTGGTGGCTTTACTTAGAAACTTGAAATGATAAATAATGTGGGCATTTGGTTAGTTAAAGAACTTGCCTGGGGAAGATGGGACCTGGAAAGTATTAGGGGAGGATGGTGAAAGGAAAGGCACAAGTGGGTAGAACTGCAGCAATGCAGCGAAGGTGGTTCCTACTGATCTTACCGCTTACCCCTGTACTTAACATCTATACAGTGGCAAAGTATGAAATCCGGTATTTTGTTTAAATAGTTTAATAAGATTCCCATAACAATAACCTAGGAATTACCAAGATTGTTTGTAATGCCTGGATTACATGTTTTACCTATAGCATATAGTGTACTATCTTTGTATAGCCTTTACTCCCTACAATCTATAGCAGTGATGGCGAACCTTTTGAGCTCGGCGTGTCAGCATTTTGAAAAACCCTAACTTAACTCTGGTGCCGTGTCACATATAGAAATTTTTTGATATTTGCAACCATAGTAAAACAAAGACTTATATTTTTGATATTTATTTTATATGTTTAAATGCCATTTAACAAAGAAAAATCAACCAAAAAAATGAGTTCGCATGTCACCTCTGACACGCGTGTCATAGGTTCACCATCACTGATCTATAGTCATTGCTTCTAAGTCACACAATTGGTTATATTTAAGGTTTATAAAAATATATATATTTTTTATTGATTTCAGAGAGGAATGGAGAGGGAGAAAGAGCTTGTAGAATTCCCTTGTACAGAATGTTTGTAGCCAGCAGGTGTCAGTTTGTAAAATTTGCAAAAGCAAAACGTAAAGTTGACGGTTTCTTCAAAAAATTAAAAGGATAGCATGTAGGACTACTCGGAACTGCGATTGCCACCATCCTCCAGCCTCTTCTAAGAACATTGTGTAAATAATACTGACAGGGAGGACAGGGTCTGTGAAAAAAACTAGTTAAAAACCTTTGACATGAGAACATTGACTTTTAAGAGCTCGCTGGATTTTCTGAGCTACCAAAATCCACTAGGATACTGCATTAAGTTAGCATCTTGGAAATAATCCTGGTGGGAGAGTAACTGAATTGAAGTGTCAAGTACTATGGATATCTGCATGGTATCTAGATTCAGGCTGGTATGAAATTAAAGCAGCAATGCAAATAG